GTATGACGATAGCCAATCCATACCCAAAATAACATCAAAGCCCTTCATGGGCATAACCACAAATGGAAACGGAAGCCTACGATCAGCGACCTCTATATCACAACCTCTACATCCGTGCTTCAAAATCAATTCACCCCCAACAGGTGATACCACACAAATAGGAGATGCTAACAGTGCTAACTCCAACTCCAAAACAGATGCAAATGCAGCAGATACAAAGGAATGAGATGCACCCGTATCAATCAACACACTAGCAACCGAGTTGCAAAATAGAAAGGTACCTCTCACAACTGATGGAGCCGGTACTAGGTCCGGCATGGTAACAGCATACACGCGCCCTATAGGCTCCTGATCCACCTGCTCACCCCTCAGATCATACGACTGCTGCACAGACTGGGACGATGAAGCCCCCGGATTGGCCCTCGAGGCCTGCACAGACTGAGCTGACTAAAAACTTTGCGTCTGTCTAGAACCAGATGCTCTCGATATGGCACCCAACTGAGGCCAAAACCTCTTCAGGTGCCCAGGCTGACCACACTGATAACAAGACAAAACTGGCCTCTGCCCTAACTCTGGCTCTGCGGTCTAGCTGAAGATGAAGCTACTCTCTGACCCCCTCTCCTCTGTGGGCAAACCGAAGCCTTGTGGCCCAGCTGACCACACTTGTAACAGGTGAACTCCTCCTGATTGCCTCTCCCCGAGCCTGCACTCGACACTGGAAAGGTCGATCTAGCAACACCACCCTGAGACTGCTGAGGGTTAGAACCCCTCTGCCTCCTGCCATCACTCTGACCATCCTGGCTCCTCTTGGATCCTCTCTATCCGCCCTTCTCCTCCTACATCATGATCTCTATATGGGCTGCAGCATCAACCAGACGCCCATAATCTCGAACCATAGACCTGCCAACTCTCAACTTGAGGCCACGCCTCAACCTCTTCTCAAACTCGATACAGCGGCGTTCCTCGAACGCCACAAGTTCAGGTGCGAACCTGGACAAGCTAGTAAAAATAGCCTCATACTCGGCCACTGAAGAACCCAACTGCAAAAGTTGCAAGAACTGGTCTCTCAACTTCTCTCTAACTGCTGGAGATAAATACTTCTCCTAGAAAGCATCCATAAAAGCCTCCCACGTCTACTACCTCTTTCTCATCCTGACATCCTAATAAAGGTAACGAAGAACATTAGCACATTCATAAACGTGCCAAAACTAAACACTCGCGTCCTAATACATGGACAACTGTAATTCACTCCACGTAAGCACATAAACACATAAGCACTTACGAATTTCATTCCCGAATAATGATAGTCCCGAGGCGTTACTAGAGTTCCGGTTAGAAACAGCATTGATCAGGTGCTTTTCCAACAAGACTCACAGAAACCCAAGGATCCAATCAACATCCTAGAAACTAAATCCCATACCCACATAGTCACATAAACATCTTATCAAATAAACACATAATGTCACACATAGGTCTCTAACAAGCGAGACAAACCCATTGTGATACTAATCACTTCCCACATACCCATAGTATTCGAACCCGGTACGCTCTGATACCAAGTTGTAACCCCCTCAAAATAATAACTTTAAACCCATCAATATAGACATGCATTGATATATAAAATAAACATCCTTTTATTCAACAGAGTAATTCATTACAAAAAAGTATTACATGTTGATAACAAAAGTAAATGCCCTATGGGCTTACAACTTTCCAAGCCAACACTTGGTTACAAGAAGTGAGTGCTAACTCATATACACATTTAGCCCTTGGCTTGAATTTACATGTAATACATCAAAAGAAAGTCAACTCAACAAAAGGTCTGTCTGCCACTAGTCTCCCAAGCTATGTCCTTGGAGGTGGCATGCTACCTGTACCTGAAAATGGTGTCCCATATAGGGTGAGCCACAGCCCAGTAGAAATATACTAAACTAACTATAAACAATGACTAAAATAGCAGCATTTGATAGATGTTTCATACTTATGTTCCCACTTATCACATTACAGTTTCATGACATTCAAGTCCATGTTACGTTTCATTTCCCATTTCTTTTTCAACTTTGAGTTTGAAAACAAGGCTCAGGACCTGGCCAAACAACTTAATGAGATTGAGACTCATCTTTAAAACACTTTCGAAATTCATGATGGATACACATTTTGATGCTGTATCAATGTTATTATGATGTCCTCAAATTTTGGGGCGTCTCAATCCCCATAACTCCCTTCCTTTGGAAAATTTGGATACCCCAAAGGGCTCACACCCTTAGGCAAAAGATGGGATTTAAATATCCATCAATGCTCTCTTCTATAGTTAATGTGGGATAGAAGGTTATACACTTTTCCCAACACCTCTTTCATGAGACCAAATTAATGAGTCAATTTCTCATTCAAATCTTAATAATTTTTGTCATTCTTTTTGTGATGTAAAGATTTCATTACCAAGAATCTAAACCCACTCTACTCCACCTCAATTGAGAATTGGCACCCACTTTAATATTACATTATAGTCAATATTACATTATAGTCACCAAAAAACCATTATTCTCTAACATTGGGATGATGGCGGTAGAAAAAGGGTAATGGTGGCAGTAGTGGTTGCAGCGGTAGTGGCAGTGGCAGCGATTATGGTGGCGACGGTGGCAACGGTGTGGTGGAGGTTGTGGGAGTGGTGGTGGTAGTGTTGGTTGTGACAGTAATGATAGTGGTGGTGGTGGGGTGGTGAAGTGAAGGTGATGGTGATGGTAGCGAATAGTAGTTTGGTGGCATTAGTAACATTTTAGTCTAAAATATATTTTTGTACATTTTAAAAGTGAAAAGTATTTTATGCCAAAAATATGTTTATTTTCTGTTGTATTAAACATTAAAAAATATAATATTTTTTTTAAATATTTTTCTTTGAATAAATGTAGGGTCATTTTAAAAATAAAAAATAAAAAAATTCCAATTGCATGCATTCGAACATTTCAAGTACATGATTTAATAAGATAGTTGTAGATTTTTTTTAAAAAGAAAATTAATAAAAAATTGTCCAACTCAAACTCGACGAAGTGACCAATCTAAAAAAAAAAAACTTGACAGAAGTGAGAGAGGAAAAATGACAGAAGAATGCTAGGCATTTCTATAATTTAAATATTTAAATTTATTCACAATAACAAGAGATGTAAGTTAAACTTATCATATCATTATAAATAAAATTAAAAAATCTTTTTTTGAAAAGTAATAATAATACTAATATGCTTTATTTGATGGCGAGATTAGTGGGAATAAGGAGTGAGGTGACAGATAGACCTATGACTGAAATGAGTTGAGTCAAGCTGGATAGTTGATTGTTTAAATTGGTTTGATAACTTAATGAGTTTAAAATTATATTTAAATTTGATTAATTTACGTAACGAACCAATTCAAACGATTTTTTTAACGAGCTGAACACGAATCGAACTCGAGTAGTTTGATTTTTTATAATATATATAAGTTTATCGAGCTGAGTAATAGATTGTTCAAGTTCAACTTGAAAACTTATTGAGCTTAAAATTGTGTTTAAATTAGTTTGTTTACAAAACGAGTAAATCTCGAACAGATTTTTTCCAAGCCCAACATAAGTCAAGTTCGAATAATTTGGTTGATTTAGCACCCCAAGCTAGACCTCACATGTTGAATAGTCTCGTGTTTGATGTTATTGTGGAATAGAATCAAATGGGAAATAGCCAATATTCTGAATAATTTTTTATTTTTCATTCATTCAACTATCAAAAAAAAAAAATGTTGAAAAGTAGTTTTAATATTTAATGTTTTGGTCGAAGCAGATCTACAATGTAAAGAAATCTCCTCTATGAGTAAACTAACTAACATATATTACTTATTTAGAAGTGAACGCAAAATTAACTCTCAATAGAGTAATGTTAGATATCTTAAAAATTTTATTAAAATTTTTATCAAATGTCTCACATGATATGGGACTCACACAATGTAGATCTCATGTGGGTCCCACATCCATGTGAGATATTTGATAAAAATTTTAGTAAAATTTTTGAGACCCCTAGCATTTTTGCTCTCAAGATATCAATAATGCTAACTAAACTTACTTCACATTGGCTTTTTATGAAACCTTTGTGTAGTATATATATATACTCTTACCTTAAAAATGGGTTTGGGCACTGAGAGACACCCAAATTTTATGGAAGAGTAACATATAATAAGGGAAATTTAGTCAAAATCCCTCCATTGGACCTTTATTTGGTGAAAAGAATAGCTTAATTTATTTTGTTTTATAAACCACTTAAGGAGAAGACACATAATTGAGTAAGGACAGAATAAAATATCTTTTTTTTCTTGGACAATATTGCTAAAGTAACATGTTATTGTCAAACAGAGTAACTGTTAAACAGAATAACATGTTACGGTTATTGTTTACATCAATTTCGACGGTAATATTTATTTATTTTTTTTAAGAATTTCATAATCAACATTGATTTTATTTAATAAATCTTGATGAGAAAATTTTAAAAATATTAATTTTATTAAAAACCAACATCTACATCAAAAGTTATATTATTATAAAGTTTAATATTTTGATAATAATAATATGTGTTGAACTTTTTAAGAAAAACTTTTTATACTAGTCCTTAATGCATTAAAAGTTTATTATGAGAGAGTTTTAACCAAATCCTCCTAACAATAATCCTATCCTTAATTGTGTCCTTTATCCAACCCTAAGCAAACATACCACAACCATGCATAATCTCATTCAATGATGGTTGGACTGGAAGCTGTAAGGTTACGTCATGGTCACATTTGTACAGAGTATAGCAAGACTCAATGTCAATGTGTGGACCTGACTCAATGTATTGAAGATAATTGTTTGCCAAATACCTTTGTTAGATATCCAATCTGGGCGAAAACTTTTGATTCATACTCTTTCATATACTAAAATGGTGCACACAAGTATGTTTTCCAAGCAGATCTGTTTATCTTTCCTTCTCTCTTATTACCTTCTCTTTTACATGCACGCCATTGCATTTTTGGCCAAATCAATTTCTAGTTTCACAAATGAGACCGACCACAAAGCTTTGCTCACCATTAAAGATCTAGTAACAGAGGACCCTTCACGACTTCTTAGCTCATGGAACAATTCTAATCATTTTTGCAACTGGCATGGAGTCACCTGTGGGTGTCGGTACCAACGAATGACTGCCCTAAACATGTCATCACTTAAGTTGGTTGGTTCCGTGTCTCCTCAGATAGGTAACCTTACGTTCCTTGAAGAGATCAATATTCAAGGAAACAACTTCCGTGGCACATTCCCTCAAGAAATTGGTGGATTGTTTCGCCTGCAAAATCTTCGTCTGGCAAATAACTCTTTCCAGGGAGAAATTCCTATCAATCTGACTCATTGCTCACATATCCGAGTCATTGATTTGAAAGGAAACAACCTTGAAGGTAACATTCCTCCTGAATTGAGTATTTTGTCTAAGCTCAATCAATTGAGTCTTTCCAGAAATCATTTCTCTGGAAACATTCCACCTTCACTTGGAAACCTCTCTGCTCTTCAAATTCTTGACCTTGCACACAACCACCTTCACGGAACCATTCCTATCGAGCTTGGACACCTCTCAAATTTATATGCATTCCAATTGTCTTCGAATAATCTGTCTGGTATGGTTCCTGATCAGCTCTACAACATCTCCACCATCCAAATTTTCTCGATCACAAACAACTCATTGAGTGGAAATTTTCCATCCAATTTAGGCATTACCCTTCCGAAACTCCAATTGTTCTAAGATGATAAAAATCAATTCTTTGGGTCCATTCCAGCATCACTAGCCAATGCTTCAGGCCTTGCCAAAATAAGTATCGGAGACAATGCTTTGACCAGGCCAATACCGTTAAATTTAGGAAGCTCTGTAACCCACTTTCCTAACCACCTTGATTAATTGTACCAATCTAAGAGTACTGAGTTTATCTACTATTCAGATTGGTGGGAATTTACCCAATTCGATCGGAAATCTCTCCAACACCCTCACATGCGTATGGTTGGATCAGAACTACATATCTGGAAACATACCTCAAGAGATTACAGAGCTTGTTGGCTTATCTTACATCACTATAGATACAAACATGCTCACAGGTAGCATTCCCGATTCAATTGGCAAACTTACCAATTTACAAAAATTCTACCTTTTCATAAATAACATCTCCGGGGAAATTCCATACTCTACTGGCAACATCACTGGATTAGTTTCTCTTATTTTAGAAGAAAATATGCTCGAGGGAAGCATACCTGTTTCTTTGGGTAATTGCAGTAACTTGGAAGGACTCCATCTTGCACGAAATCGCCTCACCGGTGGCATACCTGGAGAAGTCATTGGTCTTTCTTCCCTCTTTCTCGGTTTCATCGTACGTGAGAACTATTTAACAGGACCATTGCCATCAGAAGTGGGTAAGTCAGACAAGCTCACAGTATTGCATATTTCAGAAAACAAATTGTCTGGTGAAATCCCAAGTACTCTTGGGAACTGTTTGATGTTAGACTCCCTGCATATGGAAGGCAACTTTTTTGAGGGAACCATTCCATGAAAGCTAAAAAACTTAAAAGCCATTGAATACATGGACTTTTCTCGCAACAATCTATCTGGAAAGATTCCATTATTTCTGGGGCAGTTGAACTTACTTGGCGATCTCAATCTTTCCTTCAACAAGTTTGAGGGTGAAGTGCCAAACGAAGGAGTTTTCAAAAACATCAGTTTATTTTCAGTTATAGGGAACATAAATCTATGTGGAGGGGTCAAGCAATTGCAAGTGCCTGCATGTCCCACAGAAAGGAAAAATCCTTCTACACATGCAGTAAGATTGGTTGCAACCAGCATTGGGATTTCTATCATTTAATTAGGAGTATGTGTTTGTGCTGTTATTTATCGATTTAGAAATTCCAAACAACAACCCTCTTCGTCCTCAACAGAGAAGAACCAATATCCACAACTTTCTTATGCAGAACTACATCAATCTACCAATGGATTCTCTTCAGACAACTTGATTGGAAAGGGAAGATATGGTTCTGTTTATAAGGGGATCCTCAATTCTGATGAGCAAACTGTTGCTGTGAAAGTACTCAACCTTCAAGAAAGTGGAGCATACAAGAGCTTTTTGGCAGAATGTGAAGCATTAGGAAACCTTCGTCATCGGAATCTGGTCAAGGTCATCACCTCTTGCTCAAGTGTAGATTTTAAAGGCAATGATTTCAAAGCTTTAGTCTTTGAGTTCATGCAAAATGGGAGTTTAGAAAGTTGGTTATATCCAAGTTCACTTGAACAGAATGACACAGAGAACTTGAACCTAACCCAAAGGCTAAACATGGCAATCGACGTGGCCTTGGCATTGGAATATCTTCATCATCATTATGATATACCAATCGCTCATTGTGATTTGAAGCTGAGCAATGTTCTTCTTGACAACAATCTC